ATGGTCTGTGAATATAACTATTGGCATTGTGAAAAGATGGTTCAGGGATTATTGTGAATACATATATCTTCCTTGTGAATTTTCTTTCCCTTCTTTCAGATTTGCATCTTTAGAAGAGAATACAAAGTTTCTTTTTGTGTGTTTAGTAGTAGTTATAGAATAGATAAGTAGTGAGTGATGAGAACTTTAAATTTATGTTTTAACACTTGCTTAGATCAATGGTTGGGTGACGCGGCCATGTAACCTATCCTCTTTTGGAGAGATAGTATGTTTGTATGTCACCTCCACATAAACAGCTTAGTGTGTAAAATTTGTGACATCTTGACGATGATCCAATTCTCCATCTGACAACATTGATGCGACGAGACAAGAGCATTTTGTAAGAATGCTAACGCTACATACATTAGTTAAACAATGCCTAGGAGTGTTAATACCGACTGTACACTACACATCCATGATCACTGCAAAAATAGCTAAGCCTTCTCTTGCAAAATGGCGAGGCAAAATCGCCGGTGTAGAAGAAACAAAGGAACAAGAACCGGTGTATTCATATGAAACTGAAAGCAAGATGATGAACAATGCGCGTTGGTGTTGGTTGCATTGCAAACTAGACGTGTAAAGCTGAAAAACATATATGCTTTAAAAATAGAATAAAAACATACAGTGTGCTTAATTTGAAAAAGATATCAATTATTATTGGATGTTAATAGTTCCACCGACTCAAACAAAACCATAAAGAGCCCAAAAGCAGAATTCTGAAATCCCCAGTCTTCTTCGTATCGTTTTTTCGCATTTCTTCTTCGAGATCCCTATCTCTTTCGCGAATCAGGTATTGTTCTTCGCATCCCTTTCTTCTTCATCTATATTCAACTTTCTGTCCAACGTAGCAACCTTTACTCTGTAGCTACGAACCTAATCGAGTGAATTTAGGGTTTCCAGGAGCCATTGATGTTACAAAAAGCTATGTCAAGTTACTATAATCCATCATCAGCAACAGCTTTAGTCTCTCTTGATTCTCAACAAATGATGAATTTCGCAACCGATGCAACAACAACACACAGACGTTCTTCTACTGACGGTCCCGCGGCAATTCTCTGGGACATTGAGAACTGTCCTATTCCTAGTGATGTACGTCCTGAAGATGTTGCTGGTAATATAAGAAGAGCTGTACAATTGCATCCTGTGATAAACGGTCCGGTTGTTTTATTCTCTGCTTACGGCGATTTCAATGCGTTTCCTCGTCGGGTTAGAGAAGGTTGTCAGAGAACCGGTGTGAAACTTGTTGATGTACCTAATGGTAGGAAAGATGCAGCTGATAAGGCTATTTTGCTAGATATGTTCTTGTTTGTACTTGATAATCGTCCACCTTCGACTATCATTCTTATAACGGGAGATGTCGATTTCGCTCCCGCGCTTCATGTACTAGGCCAACGTGGGTACACTGTGATTGTTGTTATACCTTCTGGTGTGTTTGTGAATTCAGCTTTGTCTAGTGCTGGTAGGTTTCTTTGGGACTGGCAAAGTATTGTTCATGGTGAAGGCTATATGCCATTACCAAAACCTCTGCCTCCTCCTCCTCGTGTTGGGCCGTATCTAATGGGATGCGGTGTGAATGAAAATAGTAACCTTGATGGGATGAATGATGAAGAAACAATTGTCTATAGAGGTGTATCGCAGAGCTGTTATAGTAACTCAAGAGAAACCTCCTCCTTGATGGTATCGCAGTTTCACAATCAGTATAGTAGCAGCACAATGTCACGTTGGCCAGTTAGTTCAGGCGAGACTTCAACGTACCCTCCTCCTGGTCACCTTGAGTCTACCATGTGGGTAGTGCCAGGAGATGTAAACGGTCTCAAGGGACAGCTAGTGAAGCTTCTGGAACTTTCTGGTGGATTTATGCCTCTCGTGCGTGTTCCTTCCGAATACCAAAGAAATTTCAGTAAACCGCTTTTTGTACAAGACTACGGTGCGCCTAAGCTTGTGGATCTTTTGAAGAAGATGGGTGATGTGATTGCAGTGGATGGTAAAGGGAACAAGAGATTTGTTTATCTTCGGAGCTCCAAACCAAACCTCGTCTCTCCCTCGCCCTCTCCCCCTGTTGTTCTACTCAGAAGAGAGAATAAAGGAAAAGCTGCCACCAAAGAAATTACTACCAATGGAGGAGGGGTCTCCTCTGATGAACTGTCAGACACAGGCTCGGCTCAGAGCGAAAGGAACCTGGAAGAGTTCAAGCTCGAGCTGCAAGATATTTTGGTGTGCTATAGTTGTCAGATACAGATTGATTATTTTGAGGCAATATACAAGCGAAGGTATAAGAGGCCATTGGACTACAAAAAGATGGGAGTGAATCAATTGGAGCAGCTCTTTGGTAAGTTCAGGGATGTTGTTGCCATATATGAAGATCCTGCTACAGGTACCAAACTCATCAACGCGCTTTAGGCATACCCAACTCCAGAGTCTTCTTACTGGGACACTTTCACAGATCAGATGAGGCGCTTCAATGCTTACAGAGGCTTCTACGAGATGCATTTGACCGCCTGCGAGGACCAAATGATCGGAAGCAACTTAATCTCTTTGCTTGAGTAGCTCCCACTATTATTGTACATGCTCTCTACTCATTTTCCTTGGGACAAAAAGTTAAGCTTTGATTCTGCAGTTCAAGTATTTCTCTACTGTTACTTTTGAGACATTGGAAACGAAGAGTCTTAGCACCAAATAGTCTTTGTCAGAAGTAACCATGCATGTTATGATTATCCCTAAAGAAATCAATAATCAGTTATCAACAGTTACATAGATTCGACTAAAAATGGGAATTATTCTTATCTCCATAGATTGTTATTTTACTGTCATAATGTTCTTTGAACAGTGACACAGTTTAGTAAGCATAACAATTAATTTTCATATGGGATACGGGATAGAACATAACTTTTGAGATCTCTATTTTTATTTTCTTTTGGCGTTGCGACGATGATGAATGGAGCCGGGAGGCGGCGTGAAGATGAAGGAAGGGGTATTATTATGTTGTTAATGCCACAGTCTTACAAATGGGGCAGAGATTCTTGAGCATGATCCATTGCTTGATACAGTCTTTGTGGAATTCATGACCACATTCCAAGGTCCCAAGATCATCACCTTGTGCATAATCTTCCTGTCAAAAACAGCAGCAACAGCTTTTTCACATCAGTTCAGCTTTAGAAGAGACACAGAAGACTTGACCCATATTGTCCTAAATTAAACAAAGGAACCAGGAGCTATAAGATATCGAGAACCAAGTAATCGTTAGGGTTTTGTCAGAGAGTCCCTAAACTCTCCCAAAGTCCAAAAGGCTCCCGAACAAACCAATGACCAAAAACCTATAAACTCTGGTCCAACCTATCTTATTGATAGTATCCTAATTCACTCCATGTGTAAAGTGAAATATTGAAAGCAAGTTCAGTAACACCACTTTTCTTCATCTATTATGCTTATCAATTAGTCCGGGAAGATGGGTAAGTATTGCACGAGAAATGGCCTTACTGGCTAAGTGAGTATACAGATGCATGATTAATACTTGAAAACACTTTTAATGCATAGTTAAGCAAATACCTGACAAATACAGCAAGGCTCTATGTCCGGATGCAACTCCGCAGAAGAAGATGTATGTTTGTGCTGTTTCATTGTTTTCAAAATCACCTCTTCCCTTAGCCCAGTACTCACATCTCCTATGCGTTCCCCAAGTGCCAATAGCTCCTACAATCATTCGCACACAATATTGGCATGTGGGAAGATTGCGATATATCATGATCTCAAAGGAAATTGTTATTCACCTCGTAGGACATGTTGTCAACATCAAGGCGCATTTCCCGGTGCCTATCATGCATTTCAGTCATACCCTGGTAGATAAGTGGATCGATCACCATGTAATCCTATCGAATTGAAAAAAGGAAGCTGAGGTACATATATCTTGATTCAGAACGAAAACTAAAAGTGCTAAGGAACTCGCAAATGCGTAAGATTTGTTCAAAATGTGAGACCTATAACATTTAAAACTATGATATACTGCAGCTACAAAGATGTCAGACACTTAAAAACGCAGGACACTATGGCTTAAAGGTTATAAAGTGAACATTTATATTCAAGGCATGGAAAGATATTACTTCTTCGGATATGTATATCAGAACACACTTGACTGAAAAATCACACTTTGGGACAACATATGTACTAAGATATGGAAAGTGTTGTATCCATTAACTGATATTAACAGGCAGCAACGTTGGAAATAACTTATGTTACAATCATACCTCAATCTGTAAATTTTCCCCTCTTCTCATGGCATTCAGAACCTGACGTATCTGCGAACAAAAAGAGGAACAAGTGCAACTCACTACCAAAATGTTAATGAATTACATGTAGCAGTTGCTAAGGATGTTTATAAATCAGATTTAGAAAACAAACATTCTCGAAACGTAACACATCAACATCGTTTGCATATTGAAGTGTCAAATCAGAGTGAATCAAACAGCTCTAGGTTTCATATAGTAACCTTTCTTTCAGAAGAGACATATATTACTCACTGACCAAAAAACTTTCTAGCAGAGCCCTTTAGATTTATATGAAACGAAAAGTGATATATCTCATAGCCTTGTGACTTCTTTTAAATAAATCAGGTTTCAACTTATGGCGTACACATCAATAATCTGCCCTACACAGCCTTACTTCAAATGTAAATAATTACCTCAAACAGACCACGCATGAATCAATTTTCTAACTCTTATCTATATGAAGTTAGTTGATAAAAAATACAAAACCAGATAATATCACACCCAACAGGTATGCACTCACGCAAATTAAGATTCTACGGAGAAAATCACAAGACAACGTCAAAACAAACAGAAGAAAAATTAAACTAAAAACCATGAGTCTAAATTAGACGCACTAACAGACTAAAAACCATCACACCAACCCATAAATGCATACTATTAACATGAGAAATTTTTTAGGGAAGGATTCTCCTATTGAACAATAGGCTGTTAAAAAGATAGCGAAAGATGCTAGAAAAATTCATTTGTAGCATCGACCAATATATCATAAAAGAGGCAGTATTTTATGGAATCCAGACCTCGGAGATGAGCTGATGCCTTCCATCACCGTCAGCAGCTAAGCTCCTCCCTAAGTGACGCAATTGGAGAAGATCATTCTGTCTCTCCAATAACAGCCCTGATCTTCTTTGCCTTGAGCGATGGCTCCGGCTATTAGAACCAGAAGGCATTGCCATCTCATTTGAGGAAACAGAAGGACCTGTGGGCAACAAGGGAAGAGACGCACCATGACTAGCAGGTTGAGATTCAATACTAGGAAATAAAGACCAAGGAGAAAGTTCTGGTGTTCTCGATGGATTATGTGGAGGGACACTCTGAGGAGGAATCCATGTGGGATTGGGCTGCAGCGCATGAACGGCTGAACTCGGCCCTGCTCGAGGAACAAAGGGAGAATCTGTAGATGAACCAGGAATTCCACGTGTGAAACTCCAAATAGACTGATCATGCACCGGATTTCTCAAATCAGTTGCAGGTGCAAACATGGGCTGCTCTGGATTGCTTCTCGGTGTTTCCCACTGTGGTCCAAATCGCTCTGAAGGCATCCCAATACCAGAAGAATTGCTGGCCCTCGAACTGAAAGAAGCATCCCAAGCAAATTGGTGTATATTCCTGGTCAAAGCAGGAAGGTGGACTATATTTGTCTGATTCTCACCAGTGCTCGAGCCACTAGTAATTGATGTTGATCTCACATCCAAAGGATCTACAAAAGGAGAGTTTAATGGTAAATTCTGCTGCAACGAACCAGTGGGACGCACAGAACTTCCAGCGTGTGATATGCTGAATGCTACAGCCTCCTGAGGCTGCCTGGGATTTGATCGTCTTCCAGGTCTAGATAAGGTGTCAGTGTTTCTTGTAGAATGAAAAGCATTGGCTGCAACAGCTCTTCCACCACTAGATCCAAACATTTGTTCTGTGCGGCCAAAATGATTAGTAACATTTGGAGAACTTTGTGATGGTGTAGTCAAACTTAAGCTACTTGAAGCACCATACTGAGCAAGACCTGCATACGAAGCACCATTCTCAGTCTGAACAACGCAGTCAGGAGTTTCACCAGAAAAAGAATGACTAGGGGATCCTTCAAGAGCCTTTCTTTTGCAGGACGAACCCCAACTACTAAACGAAGAAGCTGAACCACTGCTGCTCTCCCCAGCGGCCTGAATTGAGCTTCCTAATGAACTCCCAGAGTTATTATGACGGATAACTACCCCGGAAGTCTGTGCACCACAGCCATTGCTGTCCATGTCCATGCTCATATTTAGATGTTGTGGCATAGGATTAGAGCTTGAACCGCGCAAGAAAGACGGTCCATTTCTGATGTGGCTGCCAGCTTGAACCCCTCCATGTACCATCATACCATTCAAACCTATTTGCCTTCCTTCAGATCCATAGCCAACAAAGTGATGAGCACCATCATGGGGCAGCTGATTCGTCTTCATTCCAATGGAATTAACCTGGTCAGAAGACCCCGACATGGAGCTGGATTCCCCAAACCTCCACCAGTGATGACTTTGAGCAGCATGAGAACTCGAACTTGCGTAATTTGGCCGTCCTGAAGGTGTACTGTTGTTTGGAAATTCATTGTGAGCTGGATTCAGTATGTTCTCTGTGATATAAATTGATTCACCATCTGCCTGGTTCACTTCAGTAGATGAACTACCAGTACTCCGTGGCCCTTGCATTGGATTCATAGCTTTGACTAGACCACAAGGGCTTTCCGATAAATAGATAAAAAGTTACAAGGACATTGAGGAGACCTAGAGTCACATAAAAAAAAGCAGATAAGAGCCTTGATAATCCCTGAATGAGAACTTGATTAAAAAGGTAACAATACGACTGATATAAGTGTACCACATTTACCATTACGATCACCACAGGCCAGTCTACTATCTAGCTCCAGGCTTTGCTCATGCTCCGACTATAGCTTCTGCATTATGTACCACAAAAAGGCAACATGAGAAGCTTCCACGAATAATTCACAATGTTAAATATCTAGCATATTACAAACAAAAGCATCATTTTCATGTATCTATAACGCTTGAGCAACGAAGGACTAAACATTTCCCCAAAGAGAAGTAAGAACCACCACTTGTGCCTAACCTGTAAACTTCATTAAAATAGATTCTTCAACACAGAACAGAGGCATGAATCCATAGTAGAGAGAAAGTGGGTACAAATTAGTTAAGCTATTATGTTCATTTGACACAAGAGCTAAAGTAGCTTTGAGAAGTAAAACCATCGAAAATTTTGATACTAATTGCTTATTCACAAAAGAAACCATTTGTGATTCGAGTTACTTACAGAGAGACCAAATCAAAAGTGGGTCAATCCCGATCCGGCAAGCAATTGCGATGCATCAAATCCGGAACAAAAACATCACCGACGATCTGTACAATGAGACCGATTAAAGAGCCGAGTAGAGGAATTTCAAACAAGATTGAGAAAATGGTACCCGTCAAAATCCCTAGAGAATCAGATTAAATTAAAAAAGTTTCTTGTTGGGTAGTTTTTGATTTGTGTCTCCTCTCCTCTGCAAGATTCTTTTAGGTCGATTTTGTTTACCGGAAAATGCGAAATTTTCTGGAGAGGT